TTTCCACAAACAGGTGCATGAGAATGCCTGGGCTTCCTCTGTTGCTGTAGCTTTGGAGGAGCTTCCATGTCCTGCAGAGTGAAACTTACATGTATAGGAGAGGAAACCCTTATTTCCTTGTTCAAATTATTTTTTTGGACAGTAAGACAGGAGATGACCCTCAGCCTTGAATAGCTGTGATTGCCTCAGATTTGGAAAATTTCACTAAGACAGAAAAGCTTAAATTTCAGTAGGGAAAGACAATCAATGAAATACATACATACCTATTTGTCTCAAAGATAATTGGGGCCATACTACCAGTTGTCTGTGAATTGGGGATAACAGTTTAGTGTTTCTGTGAGGCTCGAAGCGATGCCACCAGTGTTTCAAACACCATCAGGGCAATCAGGTGCAATGATTTCTGCGGAGCTTCCAAATCGGGAAGGGGAATTGGTATTCAATTTCTAAAATAAGAATTGGCCGATAAATCCTTATGAATAACAATGGAACATTGGTTGATTTGACTGGACTCAAATTGAGAAGAAACAGCTGCAAATATTTATAATGAATTGGAATATGGAATGTATAAAACATGAATCTAGGGAAATTAGAAGTAAGAACAACTTAAATAGAATGTACAGGGTCGCTATGAGACACATGAGCCTCGACGGCACTTAACAAAATAACGTCATCATAGAGAGACAGATTAGCTGGCCCAGTGGCCAGAAGGTGATGCTACCAAGCTGAAGGTGGGTGACTTTTAATCTGCGGCCCTATGTCCTGTCTTTCTTTGTTTTTGTTCAGACATTCCTCTAGGTCTTATAGCCCTGGTGTATACAAGTTGCCATACCGCGGTCACTTGTGGTTGCTGTGAGGTTGAACACTGTGACAGTGATGTGTCAAATGCTTTAATAGTTGGTAACCCAATGCGGTCAGAGAGTTGGGTGGAGCTCCCCTATGAAAACAAGCTTGGAAGGAGGAGTGGCATCCACTTCCATAATAGCTTGCCTCTGGAAATCTTATGAACCTGGAGAGAGGATGAAGGACACCCAAGCATTGAGGACTCTCCTTCATAGGGTCACTATGAGTCGCCTCGACCAGATGGCACTTAACAACAACAACAACAACAACAACATAAAATTGATATCCAAGGCATTGCTATTGTTGTTGTTGTTCAGTGCCGTCCAGTTGTAGGCGACTTATAGTGACCCTAGGAACAAAAGTCCTCGACACTTGAGTGTGCAACTTTTCATCCTTTATCCAGGTTCATAGGGTTTCCGGAGTCAAGCTATTTATGGAAGTGGATGCCACCCCTGCTTCCAAGCTTGTTTTAACCAAAGAGTGCCACCAAACACTGTCCACCATGGGTAACCGTTATCACATTTGACACATCAGTGTTACAGTGTTCAACTTCACAGCCACCACAAGTTACCTCTGTATGGCAAGTGGACACACCAGGGCCATATGACCTACAAGACCGTTTGAACAAAAACAATGAAAAAGAGGCCTTATGACCACGGATTAGAGTCACCCACCTTTGGCTTGGTAGCATCACTTTCTTTCCACTAGACCAACTGGTCTCTCTCTATGTGGTTCAGTGTCGTCGAGTTGTAGGCGACTCATAGCGACCCTATGAACGAAAAGTCCTCAGCACTTGTGTGCATGACTTTCATCCTTTTTCCAGGTTCATAGGGTTTCCGGAGACAAGCTATTAACTCATTTCATTTCAATGAGAGCTAACACATAGTTGGCCCTCTAGTAAATTTTCTGATGCTGTAATTTGCTTGGGGAGAAATTGCACATTTCCCTACAAAGAAGCCTGTGGATTTGAAAGACCTTTCTTTCAGGTATTAGTGAGTTTAAGTGTATTGTTGTTAAATGTCATTGTGTTGACTCATAGTGATAATATAAATAACAAATCAAAACCCTTTCTTATCCTGTCCCATTCTCAAAATCTGTGACACATTTGAGCCCATTGCTACAGTCATAATCCACCTGTTGAGGGTCTTCCTCTCCTTTATCACCCATCCACCTTCCCAGAAATGGATTTATATTTTTATAATCCTGAAATTGTTTTGTATTGGCCATCTGGAATTGAACAATCACATTGTCTGTTATTCTGTGAATGATAAACTAAAGAGAAATGGTGTTACGTTTTGCCAGTGACAAGAAATTGTGATGAAATTCAGTGTTGTGGATAACCCAATATCCATAAGTCTATAAGATCAAGTTTACATCCCAAGTACTAAAGCCAAGAATGGAGAAGTTAAGGAATTCTTCCAACCTTTTTAGTCTGGAAAGCATCAAATAAGCAATCAAATGCACTGCAGTACACAAGATCACAGCCAACATCAGATCCTGTAGCTTCATTATAATTGAGTCTCAACACTGCACACTAGCAATAGCTCAGTGACTTCTAATAACAACATACATGAGACCCGATGGCAGGTTGAAGACTTGTAGGCTTGCTTCTTAAGATTCATAAATCACATAATGTGAAGAGTGGAAAAGGAAGATACAGAAAAAATTTTGCCAGAATGTATCTTTATAATCTGCAGGCAGATCACATTATAGGGAAATTACTTTTACAGTTGTTTTAGTATATTTTACTACATTACATTGTGAATGGAGATAACACTGGATTAAATTCAAGTCACTTGTTTAGCATCAATGAGTATTTGGCCCAACCAATGGAATCCTAACCTAGCCGTGATAACATGCGAAATTCATGGCCACAAGAAACACAGTAGGAGGATGAAGTGAAGCCTATCTGAGCCAGTGAGGCATCCACTTCAAGCTCCAGGCTTAGAACAGGACTAAATTTACAGTGTCTCACTCATAACTCAGAGAATTCTAAGGTGTTCTAGAAAACTCATGTATTGATTTCTGCTGCAGTAAGCTAACACTGGAATAAAAGAAGTGAGAACATACAAGAAAAGGTATCAGCATCCATGACAATTAGAACAAAAGAGTAAGTAGATGTACAAACATCTAGTGTTTTCCATAAATATTTATCTATTCTTGCTCTTTTCAATAATGTCATCCTCTGGACTTCTACTGAAGATGGACAAGGACGTAAACAAGATTAGGGAAAAGAAGAACTTCAAAAAATCCAATTATCTTCTTGGAATAAAATTTCCCATAGCAGTAACATTGATCTCCTCCACTTCATCTCTTGTAAAGCAAGCCCTATTCAATAATGCACTTTCTCCACCTTAATCTTTCCATTCAATCTTCTCTAAAACAGAATCTCTTTTCTCTTTCACAACTTCATATCTCATCTTTTTGAAATCTTGTGTTTTGTCTGCCCATCTTCCGGTCCCAGGAACCTGTGTAGATTTCACTGACTCAAGTAGGAAGCTTGTTGAATGGACAAAAACTAAAAGTCTTTTTTGGTTTCTCTAAAGCTTGTTCTGTCAACCCTTGCCTTTTTGTTGAGTTTTACACACTTATTTCCTAAAATCACTATTCTCAGGAATTTTCTTGTCCATCTATCTCTGTCATACTTTCCAAAAGTGTCATGTGGAGTTTTTTCTTCGTTCTCAGTATCTCAGCCTCCCCTTGTGACTCCACTAACTTTCATCCCTCCTCAGACTCCTGAGTGTGACAGTGGTCTGAGTGGTTCCCTGTGCTGCCACTGCTGGTGGTACAAAAGGAGGGTCCCAGTATAGCTTCCATGAGTATGGTCCCTTATGAGGTCTGTCTCCAAGCTGGTGAGAAACTATTAGATAGATCTGGCAAAACACCCTACCCAGTATTGAAGTGAACACAGGTGTGTGCTGTATAAGTATTTGCCACCTTCAGATGTGTCTCAGTGTAAGAGACACATTTTCTGGCCAAGGTAGAGTGTTTGTCCTAGGAATGGAAGTCAGCTCTGGACCTCAAATGTCTCTGACACAGACTCAGCATGAACAGGCCCCACAGGAAGAGCCCATGGACGGAAAGAGTCAACAACCAGCCTCTTCTTGTATGGAAGCAAATACTTAACCGAGGGGAAATTGTGACCATTAAACTGAAAAGACACATTCACAGATCTTCAAAGAAGTCACAGAAAGCAGAAAACAATAATGAAAGTGTATTTTTAAAAATAAGTTTCTACTCAAGGTGAAAGAAAAAGGTTTGATTGTAATTTAATATATTAATCTGCTATAATTAATATTATAGAACAAAATGTCTATGAATGCTATTGAATGAAAACAATGTATGATCTTGATTTATGGCCCTTCTAAAATAATAAAATATAAGGGGAAAAAAGATCAAGAATTATAGATAAAGTTGTTGTTATGTGCTGTTGGTTTGGAACCATAACTAACCCTCTAAGATGTTTTCAGAGGGTATAATAACTTTGTTTTTTACTGTCATATTGAATAAGAATAATTTAATTACTTGTTATTTTTTAAATTGTTATTTTAATGAAAGTTTACAGAAGAGTTAGATTTTCATTTATTCAGTATTTAACATTTTTCTCCCAACACCTCTAGTTCACTTTTTTAAAAAAGCAATATTCATTCATTGTTTCATAATTTCTTCCCTCTCCCCAGAATAAGAGTTTTTAGGAGAAAATTCACCTCAGTCGTGACTTGGTGGAGATTCAATGGAGCCATGAACAGAGGCAGTGCTGAGGACACTCAATAGTTATAAAATACTTCCCTGAGCTACTGAGGACTTCACATAAAGGAGTGGCCTGACCTGACCTGAATGAAGAGCAGTGGACAGAGCAGCAGGGAGACAGGAGCTGTCTCTTAGGGGCTCTCCTATCCATGCCAAATCATGGCTGTGTCTGAGTTTGGCCAGCAGGGGGTACTCATGTTCCATTTCTGAGCCATCTGTGGGTGATTATAGCTGGGAACCAGGACCCTGACCCAGTGCTCTCAGCTGTGACCTTCTACACCCACAGAAACTACACACACCAGCACTGCCCCATCTCCCTGGCTGTCCTCAGGCACAGAAGCTTGACTCAGGTAAGGGTCAGAAAACTGAGATTAAACTCATTTGCATGGATGGACCCTCCCTTCTCTCAGAGTTTGAAGAGGGGATGGAGAGAGGAGGAAGCCCTGCAGCAGCAGGAGGTCACCAGAAGACAGGACTCAGGGAAATCTCCACCATGGCCTGGGCCCCTCTCCTACTCTTCCTCCTCACTCACTTCACAGGTGACTAGATTGGTGTCAGGGGAAGGGGTCCTGAAAAGTTATATATGTCCCTGCTTTCTCTTCCTGCCTCTAGACTCCAGTGTCATCATCTCTGTGTCTCTCCACTTGCAGGATCCTGGGCCCAGTCTGTGCTGACTCAGCCACCCTCAATGTCTGGGAACCTGGGTGAGAGGGTCACCCTCTCCTGCGCTGGGAGCAGCACCAACATTGGGGGAAGATATGCAAACTGGTACCAACAGCTCCCAGGAACATTTCCTAAACCCCTCATCTATGATAATAACAAGCGACCCTCAGGGATCCCAGACAGATTCTCAGGTTCCAAGTCTGGCAACTCAGCCTCCCTGACCATCACTGGGCTTCAGGCAGAGGATGAGGCTCATTATTTCTGCCAGTCCTATGATGACAGCCTGGGTGATCGCACAGTGCTCCAGGCCTGCAGGGAAGTAAGACAAGAACCCCATTCTCATCTATTAGGAGGGGAACACCCATATGCTCCTCTAAAGCCCTGCTGTGTGTGTGTGTGTGTGTGTGTGTGTGTGTGTGTGTGTTTGTGTGTGGCTTCTGCAGCATGTGCAGCTGCCCCCCTTGCCCATCTGCACCATGAGGACCACCACCCATGAGGCCTGTGGTCTCTCTTCTGTTCCCAGAGTCACTCACTTACATTTATTTCAAGAAAAGTGTCTGAGGACAGAGAATCTTTCTTCTTTATTCTGGGGAAACAAACTTTTTTTTTTAAATAGCTGCATCCTTTAACAGCAGTAATACAATTATTGCATTAAGAGACCCAGGAACAAAAGACAAAATAAGAGACCACAGGAGACAGGACAGGGGATGCTCCGAAAGACTGATACCAACTACTAAACGGGGGTGGGAAAGTCATTGTAAAACTACAGTACAGTTATAAACATATTTGTACCATCAATTCTCAGCCCTGATATCTTAAAAGACTTTTTTTGTTACAATTCTGGTTAGAGATAATTTTCCCCCTTTAAATGCTCTGGGTGATGCCAAATCAGAATTACGGTGAATTCGTTGTCCCCAGGAAGCTCTTGGGTGAAATTACAGGAGAAGAGTTCCAGCTTCTACTTCATTCATAGGTTCCAGTCGCTTTGTGTTTTGTTTTGTTGTTTTTGTGTGTTTTTTTTTTAAAGTAGTTCATAATTTTTTACAAAATAAAAGCTCAGAATTGGGGAAGGGTGGGAGAGCTAACAGAATACCTGCAAATTGGACTCTTTTTTTTTTTAATGTAAATTTACACTTTGGACTTCCATTTATTCATTTTTGCATTTTTCTCCTGCCCACCCGTCCCCACCCCGTACACTCCTCTCATTGAAGAGT